ATACTGACCATTGTTTGCATCTTGTTCTTAAAGAATAATATTCGTAAATATTTCTGACAGTCTTGACCAAAAACAATATCCTTATATTTCTGGCGTCTTTCAATACTGCATATATGTTTGTCACATACTATGTTCAGTAGGTTGCCTTGCTTAAGTTTTACCATTTAAAATATACGCTGTGTGATGTGTCGAATTTTGAAAACTCTTAGAAGCATCGGTTAAAGGAATTGTATCAAAAGTCAACTTAATTAAAGTAGAAAGGGCTGAAGACAGTTATATGATTATTTTCATTTCATCTCTGAACGTCAAAGGAAATTCATTCCACGCGACGAAACTTGACCGAGTCATATGCTATGGCACAAGGTTATGACATAAAACCCTTTCCCAAAATCAACCGGCTAAAGGGGAAAGCTTGGAAATAATTGATTGTTCAAAGCAACGTTAATTACGGCATGATTAGCTGTCTTGACAATTAAAAATTATTTGGAGAAGATTTAGAAAACAGTCGATTCTGATTGATTAATAGTAATTTATGGGCGTAACTCTGTAAGGAGATAAGGGTTTTGCTTTGGAGAAACTCTTCAGTCTTCAATCTTTCTTGAGAGAAGTTAGAAGGGACTCCGAAACGAAGCAAGTACGTTTTCGTTATTGAGTAAGGGGCCGGATAGTTGTCTCAGATAGGAATCAGACTGTACGTGAGGTTTGTAAAAAACGAATAAGAAACGGCAAAAGGTACACAATCTTAGATTCCCGATTTTAATATGCTATTTCATTTGTTGATTTACTTGCAAATGTACTGATGTTATGATGTATATATGTATGATTTCATTTTTCAGTGCTTCAGTGAAATGTTAGTCATTACATTTTATTTTTTTGATTTTCTAATTATCAATTCATAGGGTTGCATGTAATTGAATATTCGTTGAAAGAATTGACAAGACTGCATGCATCTTTAATACATAGGAGTGCTTAGGAATTTTCGATTTTTAAGCTTAATAAATGATGCGTAATATTTCGTATTTTTATGAAATAACTCTCTGTCTAGTATGACATGTATTGAGTGCATATTCATATACTAGTTTGTAATATTTAATTGATCGTGTAAACTATTTTACAATAGTTAGATTTGAGGGGCTAAGCCATGTGTAATAAAACACTACTCGATAGTTTAATATAGAAAGTCAAGAGTTGTTAAATACGGGCACATATGTCTTAGCCGTAAAGTGGATTTTAATGATCTCCACTAGTGTGACACGAATTAAGGTCAGGACAGGCAATGACCGTCTATGTAAACATAGGAACTAGTGCACGTGAGTGCCACAGAATTTATGCCATTTGTTTTCTGAGCCGAATTAATGTAAAAGTATAGATATACTTGGAAATGTGACCTATTGTCTATTGCGAGCCATTTTGTTTATTAAAGTAAACAGCTTTCATAAACGCTTCTTGAGACTCCGAAACTGAACTAAGATTCCCTGAAAATTCCTGTACCGTTTCCAAGTACCAGAGCAAATTCTGAGCCGAAGTCTAGGTCTAGGGACAATCGTCAAATCAAGGTTCGACTGGCAAGAGTCCAGGTCGAGAAGACTAGACAAAGGTTGGCAGAGCAGGGACGAACGGAAGATTCGATTCCGGATAAGATAGGTGATGATGTCGTTCATCGTTGCACTCAAAGGTCATATCTCGTAGGCAATGACGAATTGAATTATTTCTGTCCTTGACAAGTAATTGTAACAGTAAAGAAAATTTGTATTGTTTTTTTTTTAGTACATGTTAGTACATTTTTCCTTCTTTTACAACCAAGTAATTGATTTCTTTTCATTTTAAATTCTGTTGTTAAACTGATTAAAATTTATATTTGTTCATTGAAAGGGGGCTCGTTATGTTTATGTCTTCAATATACTTGTTCAGAGATCTACATTCTTTTTTCTATCTATCCACAATGGGTAAATTATACCGCGGTAGGTCATTCCCTAGCAACAAACTGTAGTGGAAGAGGTTGGTGTGTTTTGAACGCCTCCAATTTACCACACGCTGACATTAAATGAAGCAGACATATCATAAAACATTATCGTTAAACTCTAGAATAGTTAGCATGATTTTTGTTAGAAATTGAAACTGCTTACGCAAAAGAGTAATTTGTTACAAAACTTATCAAAAGAAAGCAAATCGAATGAAACCACACTGAATGAATATTTAATCGATTTTTCAATCCAGCAAGTTCAGAACCCGGGGCCTCAAATGTGTAGAGTGAAAGTTTATTGCTGCGCTATCAATGCTCTTCCGAAGCGTTTTAAAGGGGGACATAAGCTATTTGTACTTCCATTTTTGTATTGGATTCCTAGGTCATTAATCTGATGTGCCTATTACGGCTGTGTAATGCTTCTGATGTCGCGATACAGTAAACATCGCGTTGATGAGGTCACGATATGATATCGCGATACATACGTTGTACTAATTGCATGAGGCCAATGTGTGATGGACCTTAACTAGTCATCAGAGCTCAGCGTTATCTATATATTTGCTTAGCAATTCTTTTACATGAATTTTGTTTATGTAAAAATAAATCTACTCATGATGGCTTTAAAATATGTTTCATATAATTTGCAGAAGAAAAGAAAATTCATTCAGCGAATTAAGCTGCGTTAACTGCATGAACATTTTTTCTTTTACATAATTTCACCTTATAACATTAAGTTCCATGCTGTACAAAGAATATCCTGAAGCGAATGTGGCGATCAAAATGAATATCGTCATTATAAATATTGGTAATTCCGGTCCGTATTAATTATTGCTGCATGGTTACAAGGAGCCGCAGATGTTCAGTTGGTAGAACAATCAACTCGCAATCTAAGGCAACGGTTGCGGGATCGATACCTGCCTAGGTTAGCCCGGTCTGCTGCCTCGATATGTATTTGCAAAGTCATTTGATTATAGTCAGTAATGGGTTAAACCTAATGCCACCCCACCCCTCCACAAAAAAAAACAAATAAAAAAGAATATCTGTATGGTAACAGTTCTGAGGCACATGGAGAGATTGATATTGAGATTAACCCTGTATGGAGAATTCGGTTAATGTACTTTGCTGCTATGATTATTTTTGCGCACGTGAAGTATATCGCAGATTTGGCGATATCTCTTTTAGCCAACTGGCGCTAAGATTTTTGATCCACGACGGAAATCAAGCATATCTTAGGGAAAACTACACACTAATTAAACTTTTATCTTAGATTTTAAACTTAACATTTTAAGTAGTGGAAGGCACCGTTTGAACTCAGTAATTTATGGAGTTTATTAGATTAACCGAAGGTCATTCTCCGCTATCAGTTCGAATACTTATTTAAATGACAACTTGCGTACTAGAATTTACTGCTGTGTCTTTGAACGAAAATGTACTTTGAAAAGTGACTAAGTGAATGGAGAGTTTTAAAGAGGAATGTTTTGTTGTTTTTTTGTGGGGATTTTTCACTTTATAAAATTTGTATACTGTTTAAATTTGAAGATTGCAGAACAAATACAATTGCTTCCTTTCAAGTTCCTATGAAAAGGATGAATATACCAGACGACTTACTGGTAGCTCATAGCTCGTGTTCATTTCAGACTTGATATTTAGAGCTCACCCAAACATTGTGTGGCCAAAATAACGAATGTATTATTTATGCATAAGTCCGTCATGGACATAGAGGATTTGTACAATATCTCAAATTCTCGTTTATACGTCAATTCCAAATGCAAACTGCACTGACAGAGATCTGCCATTGCATAATGCGTTGGAAGATCTGGGTCTGTGCGGTTTGTTAGGAGTAATAATTAGATCACATAGATCGTGATAAGCACGCGCATTATGTTATGGCAGATCAGGCTTTACGATGTTCGCAATTTGCATCGACGTATAAGCGAGTCCACACGGAAGATCAGAAGATCAAAGACAAACTTCGGGAATGATAAGTATAAATTTATGTTTGGACCTACTGTTTTTATTGGGAAGGGCCGTATCTCAATTGGAAGTGTTGGACTTATAATCCAGTTGTAGTGGGTTTAATACCTGCCTGGACCAGCTCTGGTCTGCTGCCATTAGGAAACGCACTTAGCTCTAATTTCCTTGGCATGATATTGCCAGAAAAGTAGTAAAGATGATGATACAAACTGATGAACCAATGTGTTCAACATTTAAACTGTCTTTACGTATAACCACCGGGTACCCAACATTTCACCAACGATAGCAGTATTCCGGTTACAGTACTGAAATCATTAAAAATCATATATAACCTAAAACCACAGCAAACAATTTCGTACTGAATTTAAAGTGGAAAGATTGAGGGTCAAAGGTGATAGTTTACGTTCATGATGATTAATATGTGCAATGCTGTGTCGTCGCCATACAAAAAGGACACAAAACTTCAACCTAACAGATGGAGTAAGCGACAAAGTGAGCTTTATATTTATTATTTTGTGACAATATTTTGTAGTTTTGTCCTCCTATAAGCATTGATGACTCATCGCTCTCTCGCTTTCTCACGTTGGCGACAGATTGACTTGTAAGTCTATCATCTTGTCGCTATATAGATTGTATTTAGCAAAATAAAAATCGAATATTAATATTCTCAACAGCGACACGTGAGTTACAGAAGCTAATCAGAAAATTAGGTCAGCCTGGCTCTTCAGAAACCGTGTCTTGAAATCAGGTCACGTGATATTTACTTGAATTATAGAACATCTTTACCTTGGAACTTTACGAATAAATTTGCGTATTGTACATGAGTGACACATTTTTAAGGTGCGAACTTACGATTGATATAAAATTAGTATTTAAACATTATTAACTAATCCTTTAAAATTCTAGTCGTGCATGGCAATAAACATTATATATATATATATATATATATATATATATATATATATATATATATATATATATATATATATATACATACATAACACTATGAGTGAATATCAAGAAAATAATTACATACATTATTCATTTGCAATTATAAAAGACCGCTCCAGTTGCCTAGTGGTTAGAGCGTCCGCTCCGGATGCGGGAGGTCGTGGGTTCGAACTCTGACCGAGTCATACCAAAGACTTATAAAAATGGTACTAACAGCTGCCTCACTAGAAGCTCAGATTAAGAGGTTAGTGTTAATACCCATCGGTTTGGTGTCAGGAAAATGTGACATGGTGGGACATCATGCTACATGTCTGCGATATGATGCCCCAGTATAACTATAATGATACAAATGAAGATCGAAATTTCAGAGGGCGAGATGACCTTCAGCTATGTCAGTTTCCGGCAAGACATTTTACAGTTTTAACGTGTAAATATATTGAATACCCAACCAATTGATATAACAGCATAAACAAAAAAAAAAAAAGAAGAAAAAGAAGACGTATAGAGTAGCATAAGACAGAAGACCTATTTTATTGGCGCATTTGTACTGTTCTTTGCCTGGAACGGAAAGGGATTCTCGGGCAGAGTGCCTTTCGATATTGTAGTAACTATTATATATTTTATTTTTCTAAAAATTCTTTTTCCTTTATTATCGTTTCTATTATACATTTTCAAATGTTCTTGATCAGATCAAAATGTGCAATAACAGCTAAAAAGTATCAAAGGCCGACTCAATAGTGGTCTATGGTTCATGCCAAAAGTTTATGGGCGTGTACGTAAAATTAGCATTAGGCAGCCATTTTGAAATGCATTTTTAAAAGTGTTAGATTATGCGACGGTTTGCTCTCTAACTATAAAATCGTATCACGCCATACGTTTCAGGACACTATGTCATCGAGAGCGCATTGTTATAAATTGTTGAGATCAAAGTGGTCGCTATCAAGTCTAACGGAAATGTAACACTTTTGCTACTCAATCTTCACGATCGCCGTTAAGTGAACGTCTCACGATTTGCTATCCGATTTTGGATCTTATTCCTACGCCGACCAACTCAATGGATGCGTCGGCATGTTTATATAGTAAAAGTCACACAGATCATGTAGGCATACAAGCCCGATTATTTCAGCAAGGGATGCCATTTTTAGAATTTGATTCTACATACATTTAAGTGGCAAGTATTCACTTCATTTAGATTTGTATACATCCATATTCCTTTGTAAGGTCATTATTTATACTCCCCTAGAGTGGCATACCGCAAAAATCAATATTAAAGTACATAGACATTTTTGGACGAAATGAACCTAAAGGTGTGATCAGTACAATCCGGATTGAATGTCACGCGCTGTGATGTCACAATCAAAGCTAAGCATATTGCTAAACAAATTCGTACTATCATCGATTGTGACGAATCCACTCGACGAGCTTTTTTTTTTTTTAAATTTGAGCCAAGTTTAGTACATGGCCATAGATAATTTTCGTCTGTTGACATTTAAGACACAGAACAAGGATTTAATAGGCTTTCGTTAAAGAAAATCAATGTTAAATTTAAAAAAACAATTTACATTCAATTTAAAGCGAGTAAATGTACATACATTACGTGTGTAACTTTTACTATAGTTAAAAACATTTGACCCAATCAATTTGCTTATTTTCGTTATTTGCTTAGCGCAGTCATTTATTGTAATTTAAAATAGGTATTTTTCAAAACAAGATAAGATGTGTCTATGAAAACCGGAAAATAGCCCATGATTTTTAAAGCACACCCCATGTCAATTCTTTAAGTTTCGAAGGTGGGAAGTTTTGCTGTCAAGCACTTTGCCTTAGGAGGTAGATAAATCGTACATGTAGTCCTCAGTCCCATAATGCCTAATTATAAGTGACCGGAACTTATGATGTTTGTGAGGTTACCCTGTTACATTGATAGAAGTTGTTGATCTCAAATGGTCAACACGCTGTGTATAGTGATTAATACTTTGATATCTGATATCTGGTGCCGGATTTTTAAAAAAAATTAGGAGTTGTGCTAGTTAAGTTATGAGGCATCTTACTTGGGCCCTGAAGGAGGTAGGCCCGGTAGGTTTACACATGTAGTCAGGCATATATAGGAGTAGTTAAAATAGCCACAGACTTTTGAAAACTTCATCGTAGTATTTTTTAGCCAAAAAGATGGGCCACTCTGGCCAACACCTGAGCACAATGGTAAATCCGGTACTGCTATTATTTAACACCGCACATTATACCATCAACACTCATGCATAGTGACCATTACTTCACCTTACTCTCCAATACATGTAGCGACTAAAACCCATTTGCTATTGAACACCGCTCCAGTGCCCTAGTGGTTATAGCGTCTGCCTCGGATGCGGCAGGTCACAGGTTCCAACCCCGGCCAAGTCTTGTCAAAGAATAACAGCTGCATCGCTAGGCGCCCAGCATTAAGAGGTTAGTGATAGGACCGGTCGGCCTGGTGTCAGGATGTGACTGGGTGGGACATGCTAATTGTCTTCGGCATAATGTCCCAGTGCTAGACATAACTCTACTCTGCCATACTGCAGACATCGCAGCGATATTACTGAATTTTTTAAAACTACGTTAAAAATCCCCCCACCCAATTGAGTACCCCACATTATAATTGCAGCATGCCGTGAATAGTGACCAATGCCCAGTATTTAGTACCTAGCACCCTATATATATATATATATATATATATATATATATATATATATATATATATATATATATATATATATATATATATATATATATATATGCAATAAACTGACGACTAACAGTACGAAACTAGTAACTAACTAGCCTAAGCGCTTTCGACTCTTAATGAGTCTTTTTCAAAGGCAAATACAAAACATAGTTACGACAAACAAATAAACACAAAAACGTTGTGTTTGTAAACCTCTACATTTCTATCTTCACATGTGCTAAAACTATAAATACAACCAGCTTGTATAGACTAGTTGCGGAAACTGAAAAAGTTTTATAATTCCCTAAAAGTCTACAAGCCAAAGCGACATCTATTTTTACTTTGTGTACATATGTAACGCAGATTATATCCCGGATATTTGATTCTATACCTGTTATTCTTATAGTAAAAATTGAAGGATAATAAGAAGATTTAGAAAATGTTAAATTCTACTAGTGCATAGTTTTCATTTTCTAGTCTTCTTGGTTTAGACCGCTTGGTTTCAATGTTCTAAGGCGGCGTATCCAGTATGATTCCTTTTCCTTCCTGGTTTCGGAACTCCAGCTGTGGTTGTTAGTAATAGCGATAAGTATTATATCACTGAAAGTGTGGCCAGGGGAGGAGAAGTGTTCTGCGACCGGGCTTCTGTACAGCTTTTTTGTCATCCAATCAGATCTATGAAGGTTTATCCTTATGTGTAGCTTCTCAGTTTCTCCCACGTACTGAAGGCCACAGATCTTACATGTGATGAGATAAATCACATTCTCTGTTTTGCACGTTTTGTTTGGACCATGTATGTTTAGTTTTTCTTTAGTCACTGTGCTAGTGAATGTCTTGGTCTCTATCATATGTTGACAGGTTTTGCATCCTTTATCGCCACAGGGTCCAGATTGACTAGGTTGGTTTTGACTAGCGATTGTTGTTAGCTTGTCCCTGACTAGGATGTCCTTTAGGTTTTTTGGTCTCCGGTAAGCTACTACAGGTTTGTTCGGAAGTATTAGGTTTAGTATGTCTGACGATTGCACGGTTGGCCAGTGGTTTGCGATGATTTTATCTACTTTGGGATTGTCTGGGTGATAGGTCAGAATAAATGGTATCCTATCAACCTTTTCTTTCTGTCCATATCTGAGTAGGTCATCACGGTTTGTTTGTTTGGCCCTTTGGATTGCCTCCGCAATCAGGTCTTTGTCGTAGCCTCGGTAAATTAAAAGTTTAGCCAGCTCTTCAGACCTTTCTAGGAATCTTTCATCGTCGGAGCAAATTCTGCGTATCCTCAGTGCCTGGCTATATGGAATGTTCTTAATGCAGTGTTTTGGATGACAGCTGGTTGGGAGAAGATACTGGTGTTTGTCGGTTGGTTTCGAGTAGATGTCTGTGTGTAATTTGTTTTCCACCAGTCTGGTTGTTGTGTCCAGGAAAACATGGTTTGAGTTGGAAATTTCTGCCGTGAATTTTATTGAAGGATGGAAGTTGTTTGCCTTTGATATGAAGCCATGTTTTCCTGGACACAACAACCAGACTGGTGGAAAACAAATTACACACAGACATCTACTCGAAACCAACCGACAAACACCAGTATCTTCTCCCAACCAGCTGTCATCCAAAACACTGCATTAAGAACATTCCATATAGCCAGGCACTGAGGATACGCAGAATTTGCTCCGACGATGAAAGATTCCTAGAAAGGTCTGAAGAGCTGGCTAAACTTTTAATTTACCGAGGCTACGACAAAGACCTGATTGCGGAGGCAATCCAAAGGGCCAAACAAACAAACCGTGATGACCTACTCAGATATGGACAGAAAGAAAAGGTTGATAGGATACCATTTATTCTGACCTATCACCCAGACAATCCCAAAGTAGGTAAAATCATCGCAAACCACTGGCCAACCGTGCAATCGTCAGACATACTAAACCTAATACTTCCGAACAAACCTGTAGTAGCTTACCGGAGACCAAAAAACCTAAAGGACATCCTAGTCAGGGACAAGCTAACAACAATCGCTAGTCAAAACCAACCTAGTCAATCTGGACCCTGTGGCGATAAAAGATGCAAAACCTGTCAACATATGATAGAGACCAAGACATTCACTAGCACAGTGACTAAAGAAAAACTAAACATACATGGTCCAAACAAAACGTGCAAAACAGAGAATGTGATTTATCTCATCACATGTAAGATCTGTGGCCTTCAGTACGTGGGAGAAACTGAAAAGCTACACATAAGGATAAACCTTCATAGATCTAATTGGATGGCAAAAAAGCTGTACAGAAGCCCGGTCGCAGAACACTTCTCCTCCCCTGGCCACACTTTCAGTGATATAATACTTATCGCTATTGCTAACAACCACAGCTGGAGTTCCGAAACCAGGAAGGAAAAGGAATCATACTGGATACGCCGCCTTAGAACATTGAAACCAAGCGGTCTAAACCAAGAAGACTAGAAAATGAAAACTATGCACTAGTAGAATTTAACATTTTCTAAATC